GGTTGAGTGTGGGCGTGTAGAGGGTAGAACCTGAGGAGGGACCTCGTGCACAAATTATGAGGCACAGCTGTGATCTATAAAGCAAAGGTGCAGAAACGTGCGTACACACGGTTTTATAAATCTGAGTTTTTTTGGGCGTACAACATTTTCGTATTTTGGCCGTACGCTCACTTTTAGTATGGTTTCCACACAATCCTTTATAAAGCTGACCCCTGACCCTTTAACTCTTGGAAGTTTAGCAACAAATTCAACTGAGTCTCTTCCATGTGCTTCAACTATACATGACCTGTGGTCCATCAGAACAGTTTTAAAGACCAGTCTTTATAGACTAATGTGTGAATGTGGTCAGCTCTGCTGTCAGAACCAGAACAGTTGTGAAGCCTTCGTGCACAGCTGATCCTGCAGTGGTTTGCAGTAAAAAGGAAGTCCTACCTAAAGCTGTGGGAGTTACGATCCATGAGAAGGTCCTGCTCTGCTCTCCACACAGGCAGACGTTGTACTGACAGCCCTCACAGTCCCTGAAGCTGTACTGGCTGGACTCAGCTAGACTCACCTCCACCTGCAAACACAAACAGTAAGAAAACTAAAACCCTGCTCCTCCAAACAAACTTCATCTGGATCAAACATGTCCTCTGTACCGTGATGCACGAGTTCAGATAGTTAAAGACGGTGGCCTTGAGTGTGAACACCTCCCCTCTGATGACAGAGTAGGGCAGGGTGAGACTGACAAAGAAGGGCTGGAAGACGGTGAGGCCGGTGTTGGGGGCCACACCGAAGCCCACAGGAGACACACAGAAAGCTCCAGCTGCCCACTGAGTGATGGTGTCAGGGACGGTCTTCTCCACCTCCACAGAGTCGTTGTCTCTGGTGAGGACAGTTACAGCTCGACTCTCTGCTCTGCCTAATGTTTATTATTAGTCTGAACTTTTTATTTTCCTTACCCAACAGCAACTAGATCCCAGATCCAGGTCTCAGGGAAGTAAACCCTGACCGTCTCCTTTGGACCCTTTGAGCTTGCAGGTGCAGCTGGAGGTGCACTCTGTGGGT